CAGCGAATTGGGTCAACTGATTGGGTATCTTGATTGTAAGTCAGGAGATTACGGTGGCACGAGGTTACAAGTGATGTCACGTGCGCGTCATTCGCACCGGGATCTAATTGACTTGATTGACAAGCTGCAGTTTGCGTAGCTGACAGCATGGAAACACTTTGCTAGTTTATGTGCAACGCTCTGACAAGAATTTCCTAGTCCATATCACTACCCTTTTCCCTGTCACCATTCTCAATACCATTTTTCTATCATTTTTACTTTTTTATTGTAAAGTCACTTTTTCAAATAGCATTTTGGATGGGAGTACTATCTCGCTTGATCGAGATAGTATTCCCATACAAAATGTCGAGATTGTCCAAGTCTTTTAATTTTTGTGCATTTGCAGATCTCACGCGGTATCGTAATCCCGTCACAGTCGGACTCGTGGACGATGACCGAAGCGTTAGAAGGGGAATCAGATTATTTTGACGATGACGAAGAAGTGGACACAAAGCAAGACAGCGAATGGCAAGCTGAGATGACTGCTATACAGGTATGTGAATAGCCTGGGTTGCTCACTTTCTCGAAGACTAGGCAAGGGTCACTGGTGTTTTGGGAACATCTCCTGAAGAGCATGGATCCCTGCAGGGCGTGCTGTTCGCGATTTGCAGGGAAGTTGTGGTCGCTGGCGGGTACACGCGATTCATCAAAAGTGACAGAATTAGGAACACTGCTAAAAACAGCTAGTCACGCTGGCCTCAATCTGTCTGCAATCAAAACGGGCTTCAGCAGGCACCACGCTCCTCTCATTACGTGAAGAAAATTGATTAGACACTGATGCCGGTCTCCAGGCTGTATTGCAGCCTTTCTCAGTCATTGTATAATCCCCAGGAAAGATCTCCCGCGACTTCACAGTGGCGAATGTTGCAGCGCATTTTACTAAGGGTATACATTCTAACGTCCTCACTGACTACTATGCTACCCTTTATCTTGCTATTCTCTAGAAATGTTTTCAGAATACCCACCAATCCGAGTTAGAAACTATCCGCCATCACTATGAGCATCAGCTGAAAGGAATGCGAGAACGCATCGAACATGAAGAGGCGCGGCGACGAAAATTGCAAGAAGAACTCGTGCAGATTACGGTATGTATTGCATTGTAGCTGTTTATGATATTGGCGAAACGTGGAAAAGGCCAGAAATTAGTGACTTTTTCGACTGATGGGAGAAAGAAAACCCGTTCAAATAAACGCGATGCCTCCTTGGAATGGTGGTTTTTCAATGTTTGACTTGATCGCTTTTGAAGGCGTAAGGCATATATTCATACTCGGATCTAGAACTGCTATCAGGTGCCCTACAAAAGTGAAAATGCGCGAAAAGCGAAGTTGAAAACTGGTCCAAACTTGGAAAAACCTCTTTGCCTTTTTTCTACGATCACAAAGCAATTCGGAAGGTTTTTTTGGAGGCATTGTGCATTATAAACCGCCTACGCCGTGCAACTCTGATGTCGTTCTTATATATCCAGCCAGCACGCAGTCGCGCGCGCAGTTCGCGAAGGAGGGGGCATTTTGACTTTGATACCTCTCATCGACGTGTCGACCCACCTAGACAGTTTTGGAGTTAACAGTTTACCATGACGCTTGACGAGCTTGTTTCAGCTCCGCAGAGTTCACAGATTTCACCAGAGTGAGAAATTTGCTTTTAAACCGGAAATAGTGCAACGAAAGTGCAAAAAACACCACTCCCTCCCCGTCGCGATTGCCCCGCAGTCATATCAATTTCTTCCTTCATATTACTTCTAAACTGAAGCGTCGAGCATCAGCATATCGCACATTTGTGGCGGCGAGAGCGGCGGCGTTCGGTCGCAATGTTCAGCTTGATGAGGCGCTATAGGGGCACCTTCCTTGGAAAAGGGCCTGCTTAAGGACGCCGAAATCTCTTCTGCTGGGCGTATTAAGTCTACACGTCCTGGTATTTACCACGTCGCTTTCCTTTAACCATACTGATTTTGATACCTAAGCAGAAAACAATAACGCGTTGACAGGCTGCTTTGGATGTGCCGCGTAATCAGCTCCCAGTGAGCTTCACAAGGGTGTTCAGATGTGCTGCACTCTAGGCCAGTAATTGCAGCGTCAGCAGGTCTTGCTTCAACCGTGATCTAATGCTTCTAAAAAACGCTGTTAATACTGGTCCCCTGGGGGTGAGAAGCTTTACTGGAAAGGGCAGGTTTTGAATTTCTGAGGTCCTGTACGCGCGCCTGTTACTCATGTGCAGTTGGCCTGGGGGACTGGGTCGGGGCGGTGGGGGGGTGGCGTGGGACTAAAGAGCTAAACGCTGAACTATGGAGAGCAGCAGTTGCTAGAAAGTACAAGATAGGAATATCCATCCTTTGGCGCGAGTGCTTGACTTGAATTTCCACGATATTTCAAAATGCTGCTTTGCTTTCAGACACGAAACGATCAGTCGCTTACCACTGTCAAAGCGTCATTCGAAGATGTGCTAGAAGAGCAACGGAACGGATTTCAAGAGGAGATGGAACAGCTCCGAAAAGAGCACCAACGAATTGGATGACGAGAAACCGCGACTAGTTACGCAGTCAAGTGATAGTCCCTGGTTTGCTATTACAGCTCCTCTATCGTGATCCCTCATTGTGATTATATTTTTTTCAAATACCCAACCAGTAGTTCTCATAGTTCATGTTCCGCCGCAGTAATTTGATGGGTTTTTGCTTTCAGATTAGCATTAGAAGCGTGTTCGTCGACTCACGAAGAAGAATGAAGCGCCACATCGAACGCGAACAAATGGAGACGAAAGACCCGATGTACACGACATAGTAAGTATTCATACATAATAGAGTGGTTAACTCTGCTCAAGTATCCACTAAAAAAGCGTTACCCATTGCTCTACAAATGCTGGCGCTACTGCTGTGTGACCTAGCCTTGTATGGATTCAAGCTGGTTAACTTCGGGCTAGTGTCAAATTAGTAGCACCAAAACGTGGGGCGGGAGGGCGGAGGAATGTGTAAACGACCGCCACTTCCTCGGGTTGCAGACACTCTTGGCAGCTGAAGACAGCGATTTCCTAGAGCGCACAGTTCTCTGACGTTCTCGGCCCATCAACTTACCGAAACAACTCCACGCTATTGCGACCGTCGATTGCCAGGAGCGCCACAAACTTTCTCTGAAAGCGTCACGCGCTTGCCCTTTTTGGTGTACCATCAAGTGGGGCTATGTCCTGAACTCGAGACGACGGGTTATTTTCATATAACTTGACTTGTATTGTGGAAGTAGTTCAATCGTAGAATAAGAATCGACCCAGCTGGTCGTCTGGATGTCACTCAACAAGGAGATTGAGGAGTGTTGTTCAGATCAGATCCCAGCTTTTCGGAGACCAAAGGACTAAAGTAAGGTGCTACTGAGGACCATGAGCGGGTCATGTTTAGCTACCAAGCGTCGCTTTTCCTCTCAGATCTATGACTATGAGAAGTTTCCTGCTCATTCAATGAGTTTCCCACTTCATAGCGCCGGTGTGGGCTCAACGGTGACTGGGGCACGCAATACTGCAAGGCTGGCAACATTTCCCCTCTTACATCCTTTCATTGACGTGACAGTTGGCCAAATAGACCCTTATTCACAACGGTTTTTACAGTTTCAGTGCAATGTTGGAGCAAATGCGAGAGGAACTGACAAACCTGTCAGCAGCCTATTCGGCCAAATGCATCGAAAATGCCCAACTCGACGAGCGACTATCCGCCTTGATGGAGGAACGGGAACGAGACGGTGAAAGGTGAGCGCGTGATTTTCCAAATTTGTGATTCCAGGGGTGAAAACAGGAGTAATATGATATTTAAAAAATCATTGAACGATGCCATATCTTCTCAGGGGAATCAAAGTGTATTGTGCACTATTTTCTTCTTGATACGGGTCTTTGACCAGTTGTTGTACCTGAAGGATTGCTTAGGCCGCGCTCAATCGTCGGTGAGCTGCTACAGCATAAGTCAGCCGTCTAG